GTTGGTGTTGGTGTTGGTGTTGGTGGTGTTGGTGTTGGTGTTGGTGTTGGTGTTGGTGTTGGTGTTGGTGTTGGTGTTGGTGTTGGTGTTGGTGTTGGTGTTGGTGTTGTTGTTGTTGTTGTTGTTGTCATCGTGTCGTCCGTCTGGGTGCTGTTCCTAGTTCGAGCGTGCTTCTGTACCTGGCTGCCCGTGGCATAATCTTCACGACAACGACGATACTACATGTGTTGTGATGTGGCAGGTCGCCATTAAGAGTAGTCTTATGCCGTTATGCCGCCGTTGAACTGGACAGACTGTGGCATAGAGTTACCTAGATCCTACCGGGTGCCCAGGAGCTGGCCAAACTTGTTATCCAGAGGAACAAAGGTTGATCTGGACATTGGGGCTTGCACGTCTCAGGTTTTATTCGTTTCAGAGTCGCACACAAGAAGCGGCAAAAGCTGCGAAGTCCATACCTACTGGTCCACTGCCATCCTGAAACCTCTAGGCGCTAACATTGCAAAGTAGCCCTTCTAGGACCAAGACCTTGCAACCCTACGAAGAACCCACTAGGGCTTAAGAGCCCTACACACTTACACTCCTGAACCTAGAAGCCCTAAGCCTAAGCCCCAAAACCTAAAAGCTAAACCAAAAAAACCCAAGCAGAGGCGCCGACAGCCCCGAGCGCTCCGGCCACCACCGGCACCGCTGGCAAGGCTAAAGGCTTCAAGCTGAAGAGCCTCGGACATTTTGAGTCCGGGGTTTCTAGGGCGTTAGGGAGTGTTGGGTTTACACGGTTACGTCGCCTGAAACCCCCGAAACTTACCTCTTTTGGAGGAACAATATGTAGATACAGTGAGGAAACCCAAACATGTCGGTTTCTTAGGTTCCAGGAAAGGTCTGGGGATGTTTGGCATTAAGGGAGGGAGTGTGCTTTCCCAAAACACGTATTCATGGAGCCTCATTGCAATCTGGAGATGAGCTGAAGGTGTTGCTAGGCATTTTACTATGGTTCCAGCTTTATGGGCAGGGTTTTGGGGCTCAGGGATTTAGGGATTTGGTTCTTAAGGATTCATGAACTGGGGCTAATATGTATGATATGAGGGCTAGGGACTTCGGGGGTGGGGGTGTTTGAGAGTTTAGAACCTGCCTGGATCCTCAATGACCTACCTTTTGCGGAGGTACATGTAGGTTCTTCAGGATCTAGGTGGAGTTTAGGATTCATGGCGTGAGATAGAGCGACGGAGCATATACCGTTCAGGGAAGCCGTGGGAAGATCCACAGCTCGGCCAGCTTTGTGAGGAACGCTGCGCTGACCAAGCCCACGACCACGAAGACGGAGACCGACGAGAACAAAGAGGACCGTAGGACTAGGAATTACTATAGGGGCCGGAATGATTACCAATATTATGCCTCGATTTCCTTATTTAGGATTATACCATCGTGTGCCCCCGAAGACCTGATTCTAGTTATCAAGGCACCTACATTTTACTCAGGCTTCTCAGGTAAGGTTTGGAAATGCCGTGCCGGGACCCTCCGAAGGGCAAAGGCTCCCGGAGTTGTCGAAAGGGATGGCCGCGGATATGTTGTATCAAGGAACTTCAATTTGTGAGATCTACATAAGCAGGAGACTACAATAGTCTCACAAGGAGGCGGGTGTCCAGAGGTCTACTGACCACGCCCAAAACCCTAATATAGAGCCTTAATGCGGTTTGGGGTACGATATAATATGTAAGGAAACCCCTCCAATTTTTAAGGCCGCGACATTTGACCGACGCCCTCAACCCGAAGCTCACATGGTCAGTGTAAGTTTCCAAGTTTCCAACAGACCCTCAGCCCCAAACCTTGGCTTAGTTCTCCACCAACTCGGTTTTGGGTTTAGGGTTTAGGGTTCTTTGAGCGTAGTAGTAACCGTAAAGTTTAACCTTGAAGTTCCCTGGCCGGGCGAGCTCCAATCAAGCCTGTGTAAAAAGTTCCCTGGCTTCTTGGGGAAGTAAGTTGGGAGATTGCGCAGGAGAAGCCAGCACCGGCACCGGCACCTCCCGTGGTTCAAGTGGTGGAGGAGCCCTTGGAAATTTTAGGTACCCTTAACCCGAAACCCTAGCCCTAAATCTCAGACTTTCGGAAAGGTTTTCGACGTTTTTGTACCTTAAACCCTAAATCCTAAACATTACACAGAGGTTATAGGGCTTTGGGTCAAATCCTCCCGACTTTTCGGCACCCAGGCTCTTTGATTGGTGGCTGTAGCATCCGGTATGACCGGGAAGCTTGCTTCATGAGCCAGTATTATTCCTGGCCTGAACTGACTGGGTTTAGGGCTTAGCTTCCCAGCTGATTGGCAGAGTCTGGGTTCAAAAAACGTTATTCAAGTTTAGATTTATCGTCTACTTGCCATAGGGGTTCTGAAGCCTTGCCTTTCTAGGTCAGAGACCCCCCACGACAGCAGGATGTAATGCCCAAAAGCACAGCAATAAGAACGTTCGATCGTCGAATCACATTGGGCCAGCAGGCAAAAGCTAGGCCACCACCTTCGACCCTGACTATTCATAAGTAGGGTTATAAGTCCCCTAATATGGGTTATAACTATAGCTACCTTAGATAGAATCCCACTTATAACTACCCATGAACCTCCAAATATTCCGCCCCAGCATCTTCGTTCTAGGAGCCGGCTCCAATTGCCATCACCGACACCTCCGAGAAGAGCCCAGTCCACTTCTTCGGCGGGGGGGGGGTTCTAAAAATACTACCATGAGGGCTTTGGGTCCGGGTCAGAGGACTAGAGTATGACAGTGTACCAGGGCCTTTTGGGTTAGAATAGAGTTCTACAGGTTCTGCGAGGATTATGGGGTTTAGGTTGCTTGAAGACCGTAAGGCCGGGGGTTTCGGGCTCATGACTCTCGAGCTTCACGGCTTTGGGGGCTTTCGGGTTCAAACCGTGTCCGGCATGTTTATTTGTTCAGACCGGTTCCTACTAAAAGTTGTCCTCAACAAGAAACCTCGACTTCGTTTTCGGTGCGTTCTCATAGTGCGCACTCTGCTGCTACGCGGACACGCAGTCCATTCGCAGCCTGATGCGAGTAAGTAGATCCCAGCCGAGAAGAGTAGTGCCAAATCCGTCCCCACCTTTTTTTTTCATAACACCCGTAGGTGGCTGAGAGAGTGCCACACACTTCGTGTCTTTGTGCCTAAAAAGCCTTTGTACCCAAACCCTTATGGAAGCCCTGGAGCAAGTGGTGCGACCCCAACCCCCTAGAGCCTCAAAGCCCTAAAACCCTTAACCTTACTCAACGCCTTACGCCCTCAAAAACCTACATTCCGAAAGCCATAGCCCCCGCCCCCCCAAAAACAAATCCTAAAACCCTACACCCACCCTAAACCCTAAACCCAAACCAATTACCTTATGCCTCGCCTGGATTGTCCGAGTGTGAGCGCCGAAACCCAAACCAATTCCTAACCTTGCCACTCCGCCGAGGAAGGTGAACCTGATGCCAGCCAACAAGGTCCTTGACCGCGAGTTCCCTGGAGAGGATTTCCGGAATTTTTAGGATTTGAGAGGGTTTAGGGGCTGTCGGGGTTGAGAGTTTAGGGTCTCCGGGGTCTTGCGGTTGAGGGTTTAGAGAGTTTTCGGATTTAGGAATTTGCGGTCTAGGGTTTAGGGTTTGGGGCTTCAGGGCTCGAAGGTCAGGGCTTCTTGAAGGAACTTGAGGGGTTTCATAAAGCTTCATATGTGTACCATACGGATCTATAGGGCGTAGTGTATAAGGCTATTATATGGTAGAGAGGCATTAAAGTATAGGGGCCCGTGCACTTATGCTGTATAGACATAGGCCATACAGGGGTTTGTAAAAGAATTCCAGGGCCAAAGTGCACAGTACATTGGTCCTCTGAATGGCTTAGTATAGGTCGTCAGCAAGTCCGGACGAACAGAAGTAGGCTTTTGTAAGGCCTGCGGCTTTCACAGGTTTTTATCGGGGCTCTATCGTTGCGTCTACGGGATTTGGAGCCTTTTCGGTGTGTTTTCGGGTCAAAGGACCTCGGTCACAGACTCTTTCTGGCAAGCCGTGGCGGCGCGGTCACCATTTTCAAGGGCCTATGTACCTATAGCATGCAGTATGTATAGTCGCCTAAGGTTACTTAGTAAGAACTGTTACCCTAAACCCTAAAGTTACTTAACAGTTACTGAGTACGAAGCCCTTTCAGGCCACAGTACTCACGATCTAGGAAGAGCCGAGGTTGATGCTCCGCATTTGGCGGCTACACCGCTCCGAGAAGCACGCCTCGGCGCCTCAGCTTTGACTTTGCGCTTAGGGTTTGGGCTCGTTCAAAAAGGGTGTAGAGCCCTGCCGCAAGAAAAGGTTATTTGGGGTTTAGGGTTTTAGGGGGCGTGCTAGTGGATCGATGGGCTGATGGTCGTAAAGGGGTTGGTTGAAAGGCTCGAGCTGCTACAAAAGACACTTCATGTGCTAAGGAATTGAAGTGAAACATGGGACTTTCGGAATCTATAAGGGCTATCTTCTGGAGGGATCGTCATGCGAAGGATCCTACATACTTACTAGGATCATCGCGAGGGTCCCTTGATCCTCCCCACATCGGCCCAAGAAGCAGCAAGATCAGTCACCATGCCGACTTTACGAGTGCGTGGAGCCTGCCGTCCGAGAGCAAAAACTCAAGCGCAAACAGGGTTTAGGGTATTAGGGTTTAGGGTTTAGGAACCCCTG